TCTTCCAACCTTTTTATTATTATTTTATGCCCTATTAATTGTCAAAATTATAATCTTCATTTAGCTTTTTGGGAAAATATGTGTATGTACATATATATGCACATACATATAGATACATATATGTGCATGTATTCATACATGTCTATATACGTGTATGAACATATACATATACATTATATACACACATACATGATGTATACATGTGTATATACAGGCATGTATGTATACATATACATATATATACATAAATACATGCAGCACATGTATGTATATACATATTCATATATATACAAGTGTGTATATCATACACACACACATAAACATGTGTACATACATACACCTGTGTATAGATATATGCATATGTACATACAAGTACACATACATACATGTATATACATGTATATTCATCTATACCGATGCAAGCTATTTGGGTCATGGCATTTGGTGTGATTGCAAGATTTTTGCCCTTGTTTTAGTGAGACCGTGTTACTCCAATGTCATCTGACTACCTTACTGCATATTGGACAACCCTTGGCACCCAAGCCCTTTCGATTCATGCAACTCTATCACCTCTTACGGTCTCATCTTCTTGCTACCTTGACAAACACCCTCGAAGTTGTAGGTAAGCTTTCATCCCTTTTCTCTAGTTTCTTTAGGTAGAGTTTGAATTGAGGATTTTTGAACAAGACCACACTTGGCCGTCTAACACTTAAGTGTTGGGTTGGCATGTTGCATGTGGCCTCAGGTTCAATGGAAGTGTTTCGTATCAATACCACTACCTTTGCGACAGTTTAGCCTTGAATTTCATTAGTTCAGCTTGTACTATGAGTGATATTATGTATATATGTGTTACTTTTATGTTTCTAAAGCTTTCTATACGATTATCTATTTTATTCATCATTACATGTTTATAAAGGGTTTTCAAAAAACCTAAATATAAGAAGCTTCAAAACCTTTTGATATTGAAACTTAGTAAACACAATACCGATATACTATGGTTTTCTCTTCACATGTATGATAAAAACTAGAGACTCAAATGTTATCCATGGAAACAAAGTTATGATTAAATTAAAAGAGATGTTAATAATAACTGTTATTGCTTTAGAACCTTTGGACAAAAATTGAGAAATTTTTTCTATATAAACTCATAAAAACAATGTTTTAAGGAAGGTTATTATGATATGATGTTGTAACTGATAGTAGTAAGCATTATACTGGGTACATGTTAGATTGTAATCCCTAGCTAGTAGCAATGGTGCTAGATTGTCATGTTAGGTCAATATGATTGAATCATTTTCTGTTACCTTTGCTGGGTTCTATTCATCCTTCTAGGTTCTAATCACCATATAGTTGGATAATTTTGATTCTGGATTGGGAACTTCCTAACTATTTTGAATTAGTGTTCAACTTTGAAATGGTTTCTAACTTTACTATTTTTCATTACTTAGCTTCTGAACAATGTTGCATTATGTTAATAAAGAAAAGAAAAGATAAGAAAATGTTTTATTATGATAGTTATGCTCGATCCTTGTCACTTTTATATAAATGCACGTTATCATGTGACCTACCTTTATTTTATAATTTTTCAGATTTTATTACTGATCCAACCCCAAGTTCATTAGTTTGACTGAGACATTATATCCCTAGTGAGCCAACACTAGAGTGTAGGCAAGTCCCATGTGGTTTCATTTCTATTAGATTAAGAAGTGCTTCACTAACTTCAGATAGATTGGCATCTTTCAATGCAGTGGTGTAGACATGAATGATATTGTAGATGTTTATCTACTGTTTATCATTTTGATATATGTTTATGGGTCACTATTTGTAGATTGAGTTTCGAGTATGTTCAAGTTTTAGGAAAGGCTCTATTAAAATTTTTTGAAAAATCTATACCTAGTTTATTTTGATAATGATTCTGTGAGGCTCGACAAGATTGACTCATTCACCTATATACCGATCACGGTCCTCAAGTTTGAGTCATGACAAGAATCTCCACCTTAAATTGCCACAAATAAGAATGAATAACATTTACTCTAACTAATTCAATCGTCTTTGTCGATAAATAAATGCTTTATGTATGAAAATTCTGTTTAACTCAAGTTAGAATTTAGGACATGAATTCTGTCCAAACACATTCGAGTGTAAAGGTACACCACCTAACAACCAGTTTCATCCGGTAATCTAGTTGAGAAAGCTTTCCTATTTCATTTATCGCAACTTTTATCATATTTAATTATTTTAAATAAAAAAAATACCAATCGTTATGCTTAAAAAGTAAAAAATTTTAATCAGTAATTATAAATTAATAAAAAATTAAATGAGCTTCCATCAAGTCCTTCAATCAAGGATCGTGAAATTGTAAAATTATTATAATATCATGTCTCATTTTGAATATATTGAAAGATAAAAATTTTAAAAATTTTTATTAAATGGTTTTGACTTAATTATTTTTTGTTAATAGTTTGCATTTAACAAATTACAAAAGTGAGTGAATCTCAAGTTGAGTAAAAAGAAAAAGGTTTATCCAAATTGCTAAGTATAAACTTGAGATAGAGATTATAATATCTTATTTCATATTTGATTATAAGAATAAGATATACTAGAATTTGAATATAAATATTTTGAAGTAAATACTTTGAATTCAACAAATTATTAAAATTAATTATTCTCGTGTTATAGTTTTACTTTTAAATACTTTTAATTTCACTTAAAAAAGAGAGAGTTATGTTGGTGGATATATAAATAATGTATGGCTCAAGATCTATAATGTTTAGATAAAAAAAATTATAAAAACGGTGCCGTTAGGCGACGGAAGCGTATAATCCTCAACATTTTAAGTACTTCCGGGGTACTGAAACAGCCCGGTGGGTCAACAATGGAAACCACAGAGCTTGTCAGAAATCTTTCTTCAACAATTGATCGGAATCTTTAAAAAATGGTGGTTGATAGAGCTCACCAACTTTACGAGAAACACGTGACCGATGTACACGTGACGTACGATAGATTAGCCTCATTTAGCTTTTTCTTCCTTATTTTGTTTCAAATATTTATAAACAGCTAATATATTCGAGCCCATTACAAAGGGAAGGATTCCCATCCAGACTTGATGACCCTTTACAAAGGCAAGGATTCCCATCTAGGCCTGATGACCCTTTATGAAGGGAACTATACTTGATGACATATGATAGATTGGCGTCATTTTATAATTAACTGAAAGTCATTTATGTTATTAATGTGCTGAATGCACATGGTGCATGATTTTCTATAATATGTTTTGTTTAATATACCACACCAGCTAAAAACTTTCACGTGTCACCAGAAATAGACTCTGACAAATTCCAAAATAAAATTGAGAATTACCTAAAAATTAAAATAAAACTAATAAAATTTAAATATGATACAAAATTATCGAATTTATAAAGAAGTTAAATCACCTGGCCTGTCCTGCTCCCTGGAAATTCATTTGAGAAAGCTGTTGACATTGGGTGCGATGCTAGGCTTCCCGGGCCACCTTGCTGCTCTAATAAGAGGGTAATGGAATGAATGAGTGCGACCACTGAACCGCTCTTAATTTTATATTTTAGCTTATTATTCCTTTATGCATGCATTATATATGCAGTTATATAACATAAACCGCTTTTAGTCAAGATTGAAATTTACTCCATCTGTAACGAGGGGTGAATTTAAGCCCCAAAAGAAATTGAACTCAAACTCTTTAAAAATTTCATTTAATGAACTTTATTTTAAGTCTTAGAAATTTAATTACACGTGAATAAAACATAATAATTGACATATTTCTAAAAAGTTCTGAAAAAAATAAAAAAGAAACCACAATTTGTAAAATAAAAGTAAAAGTAGATTGATAAAACATTGGTAAGTGGAAAATCATTTTAAATCTTCATATTCAATTTCCACCATTCAACTAATATTAATTCATCTCTCCATAGGAGAAATGGTTGCCATTTTCTTTCATTTTTTCTTTCTTTTTACAATTAAAATAGGTTGCCTCTATTGTAACTAAGTAAATAAATGAACAAGAAGACTTTATTTCTTTAGTTTCAAATAAAGTGTTAACTAAATTAAGGCTTTCCTTACATCTAAGCCGAAGAAAATTAGAGTTTTTAAAAAGTTACATTTAAATTATTGGTACTTTTATAGACAAAAGGACTAATAAGTTTTTATATAAAGAAAAATCACAAATTAAACATTAATTTTCAAAAATTCTACTTCTTTGAAAGAAACCAGAAATATCCCACTTCCAGATTTTCTGTTTGATTTAAATCAAAAACATGTAAAAACAATTCATAGTCTGTTTTTTCCTAAAAAAGGAAAAAAAAAATGTCACATAGTTGAATGAAATCCTTGAGATTCAACAACCCTACATCGCCCGGACTTGTCATATATTACAATTCTGATAACGAATATGTCAACTCACGTCCCAAACAGGACACATCGTAATAATCTAATACATTAGCCACCACTCTATACAAAGGGAATAAAGGGGAAAGTTGGACAAGAATTTTGTAAACATCACATGGTAGAATTGCAACAATGCTTATCCTTATAGGCATGCATACTGTTTTAGCAAATTCGGATAAGAACTACCAAATATTACGGACATATATATTTATTATTTCTAGTCTAAATAATGTTATAATTTTGTGGAATATAAATAAAAACTTAATTAGTACATAACAAATTAATTTTCGTTACATACTACAAAAAGTGGATATTTTAAGTTACAAAATCAAACCCTTCCTGAAACTAAAAAATGGAGAAAATCTATATTCTCTTCAACATTTCCAAATTGAAATTTTCCGTTCTTTAAAAATTCAATGGGCTCAACTCAATTGAGCCCACAAGCCGAAGGATGGCTTCCCCCATAATTATGGATATGCATTTATGTATATGTCCTTGTAGAGGGGAAGGCATTTGCTACAAGATTAGAAGGCATATCGGCTAAATTGATCACAGAGAGAGAGAGAGAGAGACAGAGAGAGATGATGGAGCAGATGCTATTTGAAGCAGTAGTTACAGGAAACGTGGATGACTTGCCTAAAATAATATCAAATGACAGACTGATTCTCGATAAGGCGGTGGCGGGACGCTTGGGCTGGAGTCCTCTGCATATGGCGGCTTCCTACGGCCACACAGACTTTGTGAAAGAACTATTGAATCGCAAGCGAGAACTTGCTCGGGTTTTAGATTTGGCAGATCGGACAGCCCTTCACTTGGCTTCGTCCGAGGGGCACGTGGAGGTTGTGAAAGAATTGATGCAAAATTGGCCTGAGATGTGTCTTGTGCGTGATCGTGAAGGCAAAAATCCATTACATGTAGCAGCCGTGAACGGGAAGGTCGACGTGCTGGAAAACTTAGTCCGTGTCAGGCCCCACGCGGCACGTGCCAGGTTAAACGGGGAAGAGACCATATTACATCTATGCGTCAAGTACCATCAAACTGAAGCTCTTAAGAAATTGTTGGAATTGATTAACGACGAGGAGTTTGTTCAAGCGAAGGACAGTTCCGGCAACACTATCTTACATCTTGCTGTTATGGGTGAACAATTGGAGGTTTGTCGTTTTTTACTTTATATTTTTTGGTTAAGTTACTCGGGTTTTTGGTCTAAGTAGTTGATCTCTTCGTCTAACTCAAATTTTAGCATGGTATTACACGTTCTAATTCTTTAAATTAAACTCCTTGTTTGAGAGGGGTACTTGCCACTGGGGTTAGAGGGAGACGTAAACCCCCTCAGGAGTGTTTAGATACAATCCCCAAGGTATAATGTTTAAAATTCTCAAATGGATTTAGATGTACTCGGTTTAAGTATGTGAACAAAAAGGTTATACTTTTAGTGTAATCTGAGATATTCTTGGATAATTTGATATTTTATTTACTATTGATTTTCATAATTTTTTCCTGTAGCCACGTCAGTTTCTTCAAATTTATTTTGTCTGAATTTACTTTTCTTAAACCCAATTTTTCTTAATTTTTTTAATTCAACCTATTATCAAATAAGATTATATTTATTTATTTCATTGTACGGACTCACACCTACCCAAAAAAAAAAAAAAAGGGTATCACCCCAAAGACAATGTCTTGCTAATGATATAAGCGGTATAAGCTTATTTTCCAGCTATTTTGATGTTATATTACTTCTTCAAGCCAATATGTTTTATTGCTATCAAAAATATGTTGTTCCAGATTGTGGAGTATATCACTAAGGAGGAAAAAATGAAGAAGAAGGCAATAAATGTAACAAATGCAAGTGGACACACTGCGATGGACGTTGCTACTCTCGCAAAAGACAACAGAGGGAAGGACGATACCACCGAAATTGAAACCCACCTTCTAAAAGCTAAGGCTAAAGGAGCGAGTAGTCTTGAGCAAGGTGACTGGGTTAACAGCAACAAGGAGGCATTAATGGTTGTAGCATCTCTCATTGCAACAATAGCATTTCAAGTAGGGGTAAATCCCCCTGGTGGTGTGTGGCAAGATAATTTAGAAAGACACAAAGCTGGTGAACCAGTAAATCCTCCTGGTGGAGTATGGCAAGAGAATTCAGATGGACACAGAGCTGGTGAAGCAGTAATGGCTTACAATTATCCAGATTCATACCCATGGTTTATTCGGTTTAGCACAATAGGATTCATTGCATCCTTGAGTACAATTTTGTTGCTCAACAGTGGATTACGTATGAAAAGGAGGACATATTCGTGGCTACTAATGGTGGTCATGTGGTTGTCAATAACATTTACGGCAGCTAGTTATGCACTTGGTATCGTCTGGGTCACTCCAAAAAAGGATAGGGAGTCACTTACTCGTACCATTGTTGTCGCAGTCATAGTGTTCTGCAGCGTGATGGCAATTCTATTTATAGTGCACACAGTTCGTTTGATTAAAAATATGGTTTGCGAGCGATTAAGTATTCGGAAGGCGGTTAATCATATTGCTGTAGAAGGAGCAAGAGCAACGGAAACAGGAACATCGTCCGAGCTGGGGAAATGTTTGAATTTTTGTAAACCTGCCAATTCAAATGGTGGAAGGCAAGTCAGCGTTGGAGCTGTTTGATCAAATAATATTTGGACCTAAATAACAAGTTGTGTGCGTGAAGAGGTTTGGGAAAAGAGCGTAGCAAAGGTTGTAATTTTTCTTTCAAGTTAATTCACAAATATCTGTTCGTAATTTTCCTTCGCTTTTCTAGACGCGAGATTTGAAAGTTCTAAGTTGATTTCCGTCCTAACTCATAGATAATACCTTATTGGCTCCTTACAATTGATTAGCACTAGTATGATTGCTATAAGTGCTAAATAATTGGAATTTTTTTGATAAATTTTATGGAGCATTAATTTACAATAATACAATGCTTAAACAGTCAATAAACAAACTACCAAAATTTAAGGAAATTTGAATTCAAGATATATAACAAAGATAAAAGGAAATAAATTATATTCTTTAAAAGTAATTCTCAAAACAAATATTAATAAGAGTAATTACAACAAATAAATTATAAGCCAAGCAAAAAATTGTCATAATATTTATTAAATGTGAACACGCAACATATAAACATAAAAGGGAAGAAAATAAACATTACTAGGATATACCAAAATTTGGAGGAGAAATTTTGTAACAAATAGAAGCGTAGAATACAAAAAAAAAAATTTAAATTAAATATTCCATACATTTATGAGACGACGTGGGGTCATTTGGTAAATAAGTTTAAATCCCAAGTCCACTTAAAAGATTAAAATTTTCGGGCAGCTCCTACTGTAAATTACACCCTTTTTTGGGTGACTGCGGCCCCTTGACCCAAAGAAGCTTTGTCCATCTTTATAAGTAAAGAGAAAGTCTGACTAATATAACAAGTGGGAGAGTTACGGCATGTTTAGTATATAATATCATCTCTTTTCTGTCCTCTTTCTATAGATACGAAAGTGGCCATAATATTTTATTTACGATATCAGACTTAAACATTTTGTATGCTTGTAAATACAATAAGGACATTTTATGTATCCATTTGTGAAATAACTCATTTGTGTTCAGGTATTTTCATCTGCAGACGAGTAAATAATTAACATGAAGAGCTTGAATGCAGATTAACAACTTAAAGAATTATAATTAGCCGAAATAATACTTAAAGATGTTATTTGTAAACTAAAAAAATAGTGTGTAGTGTAATTTGCACATTAACCCTTAAACTTGGAAGAAAGTACATTTCTCGAACTTTATTATTTATTTGTAGATGGATATTTCTAAACACCGTCAGTAGATATATAACAAGATTTATCCTAGAAGAAAGGGATTATAACAAGAATTTATGGCTGGTTTAGAATTGTTTATTAATCATGCATGCCAACAAGCATATTATTTGAATGATGGGTTGATTAGATGTCCTTGCTATATCTGCAAGCGTATGAAATGGTTAGAACCAGATATAATGAAGATACATATTTGTAGGAAGGGTTTTATGGCAAGGTATTGATATTAAACTCATCATGAAGAAAATGAGCTTGATGTGGGTGTAAGTAGGATTCATGGTGATGCCGATTCTTCAAGTAATGTGGCTACTTTTAATGGTCACCTCCAAAATTTAAGTATCATTAGATGGTGTATAATGCTGCACAGCTTGAGTATCATACTCACTTTCAACACATAATTGAAGAGACTTTTAATGCTAAGGCCCAGAAGCTTTACGATTTGTTATAAGCAACAAACCAACTATTATGGCCAGGATCTCATCATTTTGAATTATCTGTTGCAACATAAAGTAATGAGTATCAAGTCTGATTAGAACATTGCTTAACAATGCATTGATTCAATAGTAGAACTCATGTGTAAGACAAATCCTTGTGAGAATATAAGAATACCTGGTAGTTATTATGAAGCCAAAAATATAGTATCAAAGTTGGGATTTCAAGCGATAAAAATTGATTGTTGTGATAATGGGTACATGTTATATTACAATAATGATGCAAATTAGTAGTTCTGTAAATTTTATGGTCTTCCAAGATATCAATCACGTAAGGTGAGAAAGGGAAAGTATAAAAATGTAGTCGTTAAAACAATGCATTACTTGTCACTTATTCCTAGATTACAAAGACTTTATGCATCTATGAGTTTTGCATCACATATGAGATGGCATTATGAGAATAGGCATCCATCGGGCATTTTTGAGTCACCCATCAAATGGAGAAGCATAGAAACACTTTGATAGATTATATCCTAATTTTGTAACTGAGTCTCAAAATGTAAGACTTGATTTATGTTCTGATGGATTCACACATTTTAGTTAGTCAATTAGACCATATTCTTGTTGGCCATTAGTTGTCATAGTTTATAATCTTCCACTTGAAATGTGTATAATTAAACTGTACATGTTCTTAACATGTATTATCCTTAGTCCAAAGAATCCTAAGAGTGGAATTAATGTTTATTTACAACTTTTAATTGACGAGTTGAAGGTGTTGTGGGATGTGGGTGTGTTGACTTATGATATATTGACCAAATAGAATTTTATGTTACGTACAACCGTCATGTGGACAATTAATGATTTCCTAACACATGGAATATTGTTTGGTTGGATGACTCAAGGTAAGTTAGCATGCCTTTATTGTGTGGAGAGAACCAAATCTTTTACCTTAAACTAAGGTGGTAAAAATTTATGTTTAGATTGTCATCGTCATTTTTTGCCATATGATCATGCATTTAGAAGAAATAAGAAAGATTTCAGAAAAGATAAAGTTGAGACTGATGAATCACTTGCTAAGTTGTCGGTGCACAGATGTGGGACAGGGTTAGTTCTCTTCCAAAGGTCGTTGATATGGGTCATGTTAGATTATTGGGATATGGGGTGAATCATATCTAGACTAAATAGAGTATATTTTGGGAGTTCTCCTTCAAAAGTCATTGATATGGGTCATGTTAGATTACTGGGATATAGGGTGAATCATATCTAGACTAAATAGAGTATATTTTGGGAACTTTCGTATTGGAAAGATTTTTTTGTTATCGCACAATCTTGATGTTATGCACATAAAAAAAATGTATTTTATAATGTGTTTAATACAGTGATGGACATTAATGGTAAAACAAGGGATAACATCAGAGTGAGAATGAATTTGATGGAGATTTGTAGGCAAAGAGATTTGAAGCTTGCTCCATTGGATAATGGAAAATTTGTTAAACCAAAGGCTAATTACACCCTCACTCTTAATGAGAGAAAAATTGTGTGTAAATGGGTTAAGGAATTGAAGATTCTAGATGGTTATTCTTCTAATTTGGCTAGATGTTTTGATGATCAAAGTGGTAAGGTTCATGGTACAAAGAGCCATAATTGTCATATATTTATGAAATGTCTCCTTCCTATTACATTAATTCTTTACCTGATCATGTATGAAAACCTTTGATTGAATTGAGTCAATTTTTTAAAGACTTATTCTCTACCACACTCAAAGATGAAAGTTTGTTTAAATTAGAGAAAAATATTCCCATAATTTTTGTAAGCTCAAAAGACATTTTCTACCAACATTTTTTGATTCAATGGAGTATCTTCCTATACACATTCTGTATGAAGCAAGAATAAGTGGACCTGTTCAATACAGATGGATGTATCTTTTTGAAAGATAACTTTAAGTCAGTATTTTGCATAAATTATGTTTTATTTTATAGGTTTTTTTATACTTAATACAATTGACATTAATTTAGGGGAATTAGAGATTTTAAGAGATTAGTCAAAAATAAAGTACAAGTAGAAGGATCAATATGTGTATCATATTTAACCCGAGAAACGTGTCATTTTAGCTCATATTATTTCGAGACATTTATAATGTTACTAAGAAACAAAGTCCGTTGAAATAATGAAAGGACAAGTGATGTAAGAGTTCCAACTATTTAAATTTTTAATCAGCATGGTTGTAGTTTTAGAGTTTGTAGAAAAAGATATTTATCTGAAGAAGAATTGAAATTAGCAACTTTGCATATTCTAATAAATTGTCCAAAAGTTCAACCATTTTTGAAGTAAGTGTAGCAGAACTTTATAATTTATATTGTGTATCAGTAATTTTACTAATGATGGTATCTCGTTTAAATTGTAGTATTTTTTGGCATATAATGGAATAATGGAAGAAGATGCTAGCACGAGAATAGAAGATGAATTCCCTGATTGGTTTAAGACTTATGTAAGTGCATTACTCATTCAAATCCATTGTAATCTCAATTAGGATGTATTGATTTATTTAACAATTATTAATTATTCTGAACAGGCACATAATACTCATAATCATGTCAACAATTAATTTTTGCATGATTTAGTGTGGGGGCCAAATATAAGGGTGACATCATGTCATAAGTATCTTGTTAATGGTATAAATTTCACATAGATGAATGGTCTTGCGGGAAAAAACCCATAAATAGTGGGGTGTGTGTGAATAGTGTTGGCAGTGATGTGAAAAATCATTATTATAGTGTCCTTCAAGAAGTGGTAGAATTGGAGTATCCGGGGGAACTAATAAAAAGAGTTATATTATTTTATTGTAAATAATTTGATTCAAAAAGGTCTCGTAGTACAAGAGTTCACTCACAAATAGAATATAATTGAAGGAAATTATACTAGACAATATCCTCAATACGATCCTTTTATTATTACTCAGAATACTAGACAAGTGTATTATAATCCTTATCCTCCACTTCGAATGGACAAGGCTCATTGGTAGGTGATTATGAAGATAAGATCAACTAGTCGCATAGAAATAGACAATTTAAGTGTACAAGAAGTTTATTAAGGAAAAGAAATGTTTGTTGTGAATCCAATAAGTGAAATAGAATTAATAAATGGATTGCGAGATGAGCAAAGACATTACGAAGAGATAGATTTAAAAGAAGTGAGACAAGAAAAAGATGTTTATTTGGAGGAGCAGGAGAAGGAAGAAGAAGAAGTAGAAGAATAAGAAAATGAGGAGGTTGAAGTTGATAATGAAGATGGGACAAAACCATTAGTAGAGTATCAAGAATAAGATTCATAATCTAACTAAAAATTTGGATTTTGATTGAATATCTGTAAGTGTATACAATTT